TTGTCTTGCTGGTTGATAAATAAGGCACTGTTGGCCAATAGAGAAGCAAGATAGGTGGGACTAGGAGTTGAGGAGGATTCTGGGAAATGTAGTCAAGAGTAGGGGGTTGCCATGAGATCTGGGGAGGAGAGGGCGCAAGTATGCCATTCTCGGTAACATAAGACCTTATAAAAATATATATAATAGCAATTGTGGGTTAATAATTAAGTCAGAGCTAGTCATTAAGAAACCATAGCAAATGGTCAGCAGTTTCATAATCAATATAGTGTCTCGTGTATTATTTGGGGTTGACGCAGCTCTGGGACCAGACTGGTGGGAAGAATCCCATAACACATATGGACCCCAAATTCAGTGCCTGGAGTCTTTATGAAGCAAGTCATGTATAGACGAAAGTTAAAATCAGAAGGATGTGATTACAAGGGAGGAAGCCCATGGTGCCCTCAATACTAGAGAAGCAGAGGATGCTTGTGGGAGCCTTTCCCAGGGGTACAGCTCTGCTGCCTTGGTTCCAGAACTAAAATTGCACATTCTCAATTCCAGCCATGAAAGAGCACGTTTCTGTTTCTAGGAGAAATGAGGCGCATGGCAATACGCAATGGCATCTATAAGAAAATGACACCAGGTGAGACAGCTCAGGGGGTAAAGGCATTTGCTGCCATGCCCAACCCCCATAAGCAAACTGTAGCCTGTATGCATGCACACAGGCTACAATATGCTAAAATGTGGCCCCCAAACAGACACACACACACATACACACACATGCATGCACAGTCATATATGTATGCATGAACGTATCTATGCTATCCACACAAACAATACATAAATAAACAAATAAGACATAACAAACACTAGGTATAATTTTCAACAATCATACAACAACATTTTTTTTCCTAAGGAAACAATCCCAAATCTTGGGAACACCGTAGAGTCAGAAACTTCCATTCACCAATGGTCAGAAGACAAATGAGCAGACATCCAAATTGGAATATGGTTTGGGTAAAATCGAACATGACACTAGTTCCTTTGAGCAAGAACTTATCATCGTAAATAATCAGATTAGGAAAACTGGTATATTGGCCAACAGACTAAATAAGAACATCTACACCATAACTGTTCATTCAAGCCAAATACCAAACCACAGGACTTAAAATATTGAAATCATCTATGCCCATGCATAACAGCTTGTGACAACAGAGCCTCACCATCCCACATTTCCCAAGGCGATCTACTCTTCCTCCCTCCTAACTGATGACCGCATAAACAACCTCCTATTTCACGTTCTTGTTTCCAACCAGGGGCTTTCCTCTTATTCCACTGAGAAAGTAAAGATAAGGGACCTTTGTAGGCGTTCTCGACGCCTCTACCCACGGCCGTGCCTTGAGTCCGCACAGTCTGCCCTCTCGCGCATCCCTGAGACCACGCCGCACCTGCGTCCTCTCTCTCTCAGCACCACCTCCCGCTGCTGCTGCTGCTTTTGCAAACACCCCTCTAGCAAACTGCCCCCCTCCGTCCATTATCTGCATCCGTCTGATGTCTCTGGGTCAGTCCCCAATGTTACCATTTCTCCAGCCTTAAAGGAAATGCTCTCTCGATCCACTTATCACTCATCACTATTAACAAATTTCCCGTACAGTTCAACTCCTCAGAGAGTTGCCCATACTTTTTCTGGTTTTCTTGTTAACCTACAACACAGCTTGATAAGCATTGGATAAGGCATTTATTAAAAAGCCTTCAGACATTCAGTATGCAGACATTAACTATGGCCATCAGTGTTACCTGAAATGGGATTTACCTAATAACAGATTTACATAATTGTTCTGTCTCCAAAATCTCTGACAGGTAAGTTTCTTAGAGAAAACCAAAAAAAGTAAAATGAAATAACTAAGCAATTTAATTAGCTTTGAATGCAGAGACGTAAAAATAACCCCATAATATCAAAACGAAGCCTGAAGAGACCATTTCATGGAGCTAGGTATAAGCCTTGTAAAATTTTCTAAAGTATACGTGACTTCAAAGGCCTTAAGTATGAAACTGATACAGTACCACACCTTAATCACTGGGAAGCACGACTTATAGTTATTACTGTAGATATATCACATCTACGGAAATATTTCCTGGCAATGTTTTCCTCTCACTTGAAAAATAGGTTTTCAAAGTCTAAGTCTCTGTTATCGGTCATACTTACACACACACACACACACACACACACACACACACATGCATGCACATCCACAGCCTTGCAGAGAACAATGAAAGTGTTAATAGGCTCTACCATATGTATGGTCTGTAGGCAGATGTACAAAAGGCATCATGAGCTGCAGCACTTAGCAGAGCTATAGTGGCAGCAGACCTTTAAAGCAGAGTTGAAGCCCTTCTTCGGGAGGCCAGTGTCAATGAGTACAGCACACTGACAAGATACAACAATCGGCTTGGAGAAGTGAGAACCCTGACAGTAAAGAACACTGTTATTCCTCCACTCTTTAAACGCCAACAAATTGGATCTAGCCACCTAGGAAGCGGGACCGCAGCAGCACAGGCTCTGAGGGTACCCTCAACGCTCTCGCCTCAACACTTCCCCAACAGCGAAAACAAAAACATTGGAGCCTCTTTTAATACGCCACATTGTCATAAACTGGTAGCATAAAATATCAAATCACAGAAGTAACATCAAACATACTCCTATTTCTTAAGTTATAAAACAGGACACTTTTTTTTCTCCTATGCTGATGTGTACGGCTGTCTGATTCCATTCTTGGTTTTTTATGAAAATGTCCATGTTGTTTGCTTTTGTGAGAATATTTCCATCAGACACAGAATTTTAGGCTGATTGTTTTCTTTCAAACATTTGAAAGCCCTGTGTCCCCTGGGTTCCCTGTGTTCAGTTAAGAAGTTGTCTAGTAGAGTGTAGAGGATTTCCTTCACACGTAGCAAGGGTAATGAGTTCAGTCCCCAAAGCCACGTATAGGCCAGGTGGGTGTGGTACCCCACCTGGATCCCAGTGCTGGGAACGTAAAAGACAAGCAGGGATCCTTGGGGCAAGCAGGCTAGCGAGATGAGAAGTATCAGCAAACTCTGTGTTGAACTGAGAGACCCTTCCTCGATGACTAAGGTAGATGGTATAGAGGAAGATCCTCAACTTCAACTTAAAACCCCCACATATGCACACACAGGTGCACGCGCAACTGCACAAATGTATGCACACCCCATAGTAACAAACATGCACACATGCACATCCGGTACCCACCGCGCACGTATATTACAGAACAAGGAAAAATTGTCAGTTGTCGGTCTTAGTTGCCTCCAAGGCAGGGAAGTGATTTCTCTCTCTGCTTGCACTACTGTCTTCACTTTGGAGGGATTTTACTATTATTAGATTAATTTCCTTTGTCCTTGGTGCTCACGAGGCTGCTTCATTCTACGACTTAGTATCTTTTGTCATGTTAAAGTAGTATTATTCACTTCCCACAGGAAGTCTCACAGCCCTACTCCTCTCAGACAGTGAGGAAAGGAGGGTAGGCTGAGGGAGAAAGGGGAGTCATTCACTAAAATACTAAATCACTAAATAATAAGCAAGTTCTCAAATACTGCAGAGGACATGTCAACTGTCTTAAAACAAAAAACATAATTTTTCAGATTCCAGAAATCAAACAAGTACAATAAAAATCATACATTGAAACTATAACACAAAAGGCAAAGGTAAAAGTTTTTTCTAGAAAAAAAAAAGAATGCTAGGGATATAAATAAGTCACACACTAAACCAAAAGGGAAAAATCAACACACACAAAAAAAGTTCGAAGTCACCATATTAACTGGGGAAGACCACATCGAAATATCACTGAGCTACTGTCTCTAGCTACCACATGGGCAGGAGTAGGACCCTCGTCACCAGCTGCTTGGAGAACATGGAGAACAAGGCACGCCCTGCCGTTGGATGCTCACAGCCCTAGAGAACCGAAAGGTAGCTCGGTAACACATTACCATGTCACTGTCATGCATGCACCTCCGAAAAATCACTGTAAATAAGCATCAGAAGGCTAGTGTAACATGTATAGTGCAACACCGTCATTGGTTAAAAAAAAAAGAGTGAAAAATATATTGTAAAGCCACAAGCTTTGTATTTCTTTCAAGTTAGATGAGAAAAAATGAAAAATGCTCTTTGCAAGGTTAATAAACATTAAAGTGAAAGTATAAATAAGAACAAACCCTGGACATATAATAACAGAGCTTGAGGTTATAGTGGTAAACAAAATTACTCATCTAAAATGAATATATTAGAGGTACTTGCAGGTACTCCTATGGGATCAGAAGTTGTATTGTTTATACATAGGCGAATTTGTTATTTTGCACTATGGCTGCATGACAAAATATAATGTTAACATAACAATGTTGAAAGTTCAAAAACTTTGCTATGACATCACTCTATAAACACCACTGCTGCACAACTAAAAGATATTATTACAATAGGGCTCACGCTCACAGGGACTCACGGGACGGTGACCGCACACTCAGGACCCTGCTCAAGCTAAAGTCAGGCAAAGCCACAGCAAGGAGGAGGAGAAGTGGACACCAAGCCCCACCCCTAACCAGGAAGCTCCCTGCAGTGGAAAATCAGTTTTCTCCAATGCAGTGACACTGATACATCGACCACACCTCTAGGCAATGTCCAAGAGCAGTTGGTCAACACTAAATGAATTCTATGATAGAGTGTGTGTGTGTGTGTGTGTGTGTGTGTGTGTGTGTGTGTGTTGTTTTGGTTTGGGTATTTGGGGAGCTCGGCAGTTGTTTTGTTTGTTTGCTTGGTTTTGTTTTTGTTTTTTACTGAGAGAAAAAGAACATAAAGATGATGGGTAGGGAGGTAGCGAGGGTATGGGAGGGGAGAAGCAGGGGAAGGGAAAAGAATACTATCAAAATATATTGTATGAAAAAAGCCAATGAAATATTACCACACAAGCGATTATCAAATGTCCTCCCTCTCATACCTTTCTACCTGGTCTACTCACCAGGTCTTGGTGTTGACTTCATACTTGTAAAGGTCGTCCACCAGTCCGTACTTATTGCCTGGCAGTGCTTTATACCCTCCATGCACGTAAATGGACTTGGTGACTTCATCATACACACTGGTGTGGCCATATCCACCTTGGACAATGGCTCCTTTAGTTTCCGGAACCAGCCAAGTGTTTGATGCTGCAGGAAGAGGAGAACAAATCACAAAACTCAAGTAGTAATTAAAGTAGCAATTAAAAATTCAAGCAAATGTCGCAAAGCCACCAAGTTAACTCATTAAAAATTACAACCAAAATGTCACAAAGCCACCAAGTTAACTCGCGAAAAATACAAGCAAAATGTCACACAAAAAAACGCCAAGCTAGCTCTGGTGACACAGCTTTATGAGCAGACAGAGCTACCTGACACTTACTCGGTACATAGCCGAAGGCACGACACTGAGAACTGAGGAAAGACTAAGTGTCCTAGGTCTTCCAGAAAAAATTCTAAGACACTGAAAATCCAACTTTTGAGATTATAAAAAAAAGAGGAAACTTATATGTACTTATTCAAAAATAGTCCTTAATAAGATAAAATATATAGCAAATACTCATTACGGCCTTCTGTGTAACGAACTTGAAATAAATTAGTGATGTAAAAAGAAAGATACAAGTTACATGACCACTCTCTTAAACCCAAGATAACTGAATAAACTTTTAGCACCACACTGGTACTAAAGACTGAAATTCTAGCGCTCTCTTGACAATCCACGGTATTATCGGGGCTCCACCAGCAGGCACGCTGGTGAAGAGTTCCTAAGGGAAAGGGTTTATTCTCCTTTGTCTTCAGTGGCAGAGCAGGTGGCTGCCGGGAACTGACCCTTTGTCCTCCACAGAAACACGCGCTCTTGACCACTGAGCCATCCCCTGCCCGGGCCTGCACCTCCTTTCTACACAGCCGGGAAGCACCCCGTGCCGTGGCGCAGCCACGCAACCAGCGTGCCAGCGCTGAGCAGCATGCATCACTGTTCCGTGGGCTTTGCTGTGTCGTTTTCAGGGCGCAGGCACCCAACTGTCTGGACCCGAGTCACCGACCGCAGCCACTCAAACGCACTTGCACACAGTAGGAAATCTTCCCGCTTGTCCTTAGATACAACACACAGAATCTTCAAATGCCCATGATTCACCTAGTGTTCCTATGAAACTCAAAAACCATGGTTCCTACCACTTCTGTGCAGCCAGCAAAACAATACTGTTATAAATCCGCTTAGCATTTTGGTTACAGGATGAGCCAAAAGGAACTGAGACTATAGATGGCTCTTAATTCACCAAAATCCCAGTTGTCATTCTATAATCAGATCAGCCCTGATTGAAAACAAAAATCCAGCAAACAATACATTCATTAGTTAGCAACCTGCATGGACATTACCATCACGGTGCGTGACGGTGCACCTGTTGTGTTTTCCTGGCTATCCATGCAAAGTGACAGCACCTGAATGAGGCTATGAAAACGTGACATGTATGATATATGCTGTGTGAACTAGAGCACACGTTAGAGAAGAGAGATACATCTATGAAACAGCTTGCGGACTGACCAACCCTGCAACTACCCAGGCCCACCCCAACACCACCGCGTCTATCTATGATCAGCTGGGGTTTGGGGTGGGGGGTGGGGGGCACTGTGGACCCAGACCTACAGGAGCTCCATGACACGGGGGAGGGGCAGCAATGGGATATCCCGGAAGTGTCCCAGTGAAAGCCCAGTGTTGACAATACAGCAGAGACCAGAGGCCTCAAACCTAAGCAATGATTCTCCGCAATGAACACCTGAATGTCAAGATGTATGGATAAAGGGGTTTTTACAGAGTGTCCCACTGTGACACACTGCAGCTTCCATGGTGAGAGTCTCCCTTTCCTCCCTTTCCTCCATTTTTTTCTATTCTTTTTTATCTTAAATTTTATTTTGTTTTATTTGGGGAGGGGAGGTTGTTGGGGCAGAGGGCAGAAAGGACAGGACAGGAGATGGGTGGGGTTGGGATTATGACGTGAAAGGCACAAGTGATTTTTTAAAAAGGGAAGGTTGCCGGGCGGTGGTGGCGCACGCCTTTAATCCCAGCACTCGGGAGGCAGAGGCAGGCGGATCTCTGTGAGTTCGAGGCCGGGCTGGACCGATAGCCTCCAAAACAATACGGAGAAACCCTGTCTCGTAAAAACCAGAAAAAAAAAAAAAAGGGAAGGTTAAAATATACACACATATATATATGTACACATCATATAAACTTATGCATGCATGCGTGTATGTGTGTGTGTGTGTGTGTGTGTGTGTGTTAAACAAGGTCACAGTAAGCCAGAATCTAGGTCCAGGAAACAAAGCAGTGACTGAATGAACGAGCAGACGATGATGCGCATGTGGCCAGCAGTGTGAGGTCCACAGCCAGGCTATCACAGAGTGTGAGGTCCACGGCCAGGCTATCACAGAGTGTGAGGTCCACGGCCAGGCTATCACAGAGTGTGAGGTCCACGGCCAGGCTATCACAGAGTGTGAGGTCCACGGCCAGGCTATCACAGAGTGTGAGGTCCACGGCCAGGCTATCACAGAGTGTGAGGTCCACGGCCAGGCTATCACAGAGTGTGAGGTCCACGGCCAGGCTATCACAGAGTGTGAGGTCCACGGCCAGGCTATCACAGCAGTGTGAGGTCCACGGCCAGGCTATCACAGAGTGTGAGGTCCACGGCCAGGCTATCATAGCAGTGGCGAGGACATGGAAACGGAAACGGCAGCACAAGTGCAAATGTGGCGTGTCCTTCTTTCACCGTGGTGTACGGAGGACAGAGACAGACCTGCCGCCACCTGAAGGGCCGCAGGGAGACTGTGGCCTGCGTCTCCCTCTAAGCCCGTGGTTCTCAACCTTCCTCATGCCGAGACCCTTTAATGCAGGTCTTCATGTTGTGGGGACCCAAAACCATAGAATTAGTGTCACTGCTACTTCATAGCTGTACTTTCGCTACTGTTGTGAACTGTAAATACTTTTGGAGACAGGTTTGTGGATGGGTCGGGACCCACAGGTTGACAACCACGGCTAAGCACACAGGCATCCTCACTGCTTATGTCCCACTGACCCTACAGACAGCGTCTGCAAGGCCACACGTGTGTTGACACAAATGCCAAGAACTGGATCTCGGTAAGTGAGCAAGATCCAGAAATGAGCATATTCTTACCTTTAAATAGCAACAAGATAAATGTTTGTAGACTAAAACAAAAACTAAAACAAAAAAGTACGGTATGAAAATGTCTTAAAGAATGGAGGGTGGGGGGAGACTAGAAAAAACTACTTAAGGAAAAAGGGACAGTAATCCAGAAACTCATGCACAGATTGACCAGGTTGCCTCAAATACTAATAATGACCTCCTTTAGAAGCTGGCAGCACAGCCTTGACAATCTACTTTAAACGGGCCTAGCAGTGAGGCTCAGAACATAGTACAGAAAAGTGAAAACTCTCAAACTCATGGAACACAAGACAGGAGCTAACTTCAGCTTTCCAGGCATAGGTAAAATCCAAGGAAACAGCACCATCTATGGGAATGTCTTACATTTAAGAATATTTATACATCTTTGAAAATGAGTGTGCAACATTTCCCCCTCATCTGGCTAAGAGATACACCCAAATATTAAAGAATAAAAATCTAGCATCATCAAAAAGATTATACTGAAAAAAACATTAGTCCTTGCCTTATAAGTCCAATCTAAAACAAGTCACCATTTTGACCAAATAATTAAATTAAAAAAAAAAGATTCTCAACCCATTAAAAAAAAATGGCATTTTAAACGAAACTCACAAAGGTGGTACTCCTGTATGCTGCTTGTGTAACCGTATATTGCAGAATATCCAAATATCACAATCATGACAACGTCTCCACTGTCCAGCTCCATTATGTGTGCCGAGTGCCCCTCCACCGCATACTGCTGGCCGTGTCCCAGAACAGTGGGGGTTTTCGTACTCCACGACTGGCTGGGTATATTAAAAACCCATAATTCATCTGTGACATTGCCATCGCTTGTCTCAATTCTGCCTCCATACATAAAGATGTTTTCCTGTAAGTTAAAACACATACATCAGTAGGCAGAAGAGTTATTTCTTAACATGCATTAATGTTTTTTTTAAAAAAGACCATTTTTTTAAACACCACATTTTAGTAACTGCTCACAGCATACCTCAAATGGAAACACACCAACGATCAATGGAAAATGTAGCGATAGTTTGTTTGCAATCTAAGAAAGATTGCCTGAAGAGAATGCAGAGCTGAGCCACTAGTCAGCCACACACCTAAGCCACTAGTTGGCCATAGAGGACAGGGAGTGGTGGTCAAAACTTTAGTCCCAGCACTCGGGAAACAGAAGCAGATGATCTCTGTGAGTTCAAGGCCACCCTGGGCTACATGAGACTGAATCAGTCCAAAAAGGAAACAGAGCTCACACCTTTGATCCCAGCACTTGGGGTGACATGCTTTTAATCCCAGGCAGGAGCTCAGGGCAGCCTCAGTGCAGTCTGGGGTTTGGTGGAGAGCACTGCAGTCTGCAGTCACACTGAGGACAGGATCACACCCCACACACTTTGGTCTTAGCCTTGGTAGACATAAGAACTCTCTAATGCCTTGGTTGCTTTGCTTCTCTGATTTTCAATTTGAACTCCAATATCTGTCTTTGGGTTTTTTATTATTAAGACCAACTAGAAATCATTCTACGGGAAAGTTGCTGCAATGTATTTCCATTTAAATGCTCACATTATATAATCTACTAAGCACATTTCTGGTTGTTCTACACAAGAAGAGAACCCTGAAACGACGCGAGTGGAAATGCAGTAAACAAATCAGAAACTTAATGCGTAAGAGTGCAGTGGTTCTACAATGGACGACCCTCACACATCAGAAAAGCCATGAAGTTGGCTGGCATCACCGATGGAGTCTTCCCAGTATCTGAATGATCTGAGTCCCTAACAGCTACATTTTAATTTCAACACCTATGCAAACTGTTCTTCCTGTTCTCAATTACTCAGTGTTTTCCAGCACTAGTCACCAAAAACACAGGTATTTGCATATCACATAAAGTACATTTTATTACCATTTGTGGCGTAGGAAAACTACATACCTTCAGTTCACCTTGGGTAAATCTTCACAACACTTACAAATTACCCAACTATTTTCATTCACAGATGATTCATATAAATGACACAAAAATGGTATAGACCACTCTATTGCAGCAAACTAAAAAGATGATTTCTTCAGTTTTGGTAAAGGCTATCTAAGGAAAACACTAAGCTAAAATATACCTAATTGTGAAATGGGGGATGCTTTCCTCTCAGACTAAGAATAAAATAAGGGTGCCTACTTTTTCATTTCTGCTGAAAACAGTACTGGAAGGTCTACCTGGGACAAATAGGAAAAAACTAGTAGGAGCCCAGGGAAAATGGAATGGGAGATAATTTCTATGAGCAGGTTATATCACCTTCTATATAAAAGATCCTAAGAAATGAAGAATTCACAAATGAATTCAACTATACATAGCATGAGGTCAGTGAACAAAATGCATATAAGTCCACACACTTGCAATCAACTATCCAAAACTAAGTCAGCAAAGTAGCTACCCTGACACCAAAAGTAAAAACTATTCAGGAAAAAATTTTTACAGAAGAGTTCAAAACTGAAGGTATTAAACTGCTGAAATTTACAAAGATATAAATTGAAAGATACTGCATCAGAAGACATAACATTTTGACGACAAAGATCTCAAAGTCTGTGCAGTCACCACGATCTCTATCAGAATTTTAACTAGCTTCTTTGCAGAAATTCATTTGCTAAATGTCATTAGCAAGGGTTGCAGAAAATCAGAACAGTCTGTAAATGTAAAAAAAAAACTTCGTTCAAATGTAATACAAAACAAGTCTCAAGACAGTGAGGTTCGGGAATAAATCAGCACAACAGAATGAAGAGTCCAGAGATACGCTGATGATGGACAGACACGCCCATGGTCATGGAGAATCCAGAGATACGCTAATGATGGACAGACACGCCCATGGTCATGAGGGATCCAGAGATACACTGAAGATGGACAGATACACCCATGGTCAAGGGGGATCCAGAGATACACTGATGATGGACAGACACGCCCATGGTCATGAGGGATCCAGAGATACACTGATGATGGACAGACACGCCCATGGTCATGGGAGATCCAGAGATAACACTGATGATGGACAGACACGCCCATGGTCATGGGAGATCCAGAGATAACACTGATGATGGACAGACACGCCCATGGTCATGGAGAATCCAGAGATAACACTGATGATGGACAGATACACCCATGGTCAAGGGGGATCCAGAGATACACTGATGATGGACAGACACGCCCATGGTCATGGGAGATCCAGAGATAACACTGATGATGGACAGACACGCCCATGGTCATGGGAGATCCAGAGATAACACTGATGATGGACAGACACGCCCATGGTCATGGAGAATCCAGAGATAACACTGATGATGGACAGACACGCCCATGGTCATGAGGGATCCAGAGATACACTGATGATGGACAGGCCCGCCCATGGTCATGGGGGATCCAGAGATAACACTGATGATGGACAGACATGCCCATGGTCAAATGGTTTGTGACAGGAGTGACAAAACTACTCAAAGGGAAAAGAATGCCCCTTGTAATACATGATGTGGGAAAACACACATGAAAACAAAAGCAGAACTGTTACCATACTAAAACAGTTGAATTACTAAAAACGGTTGAAATAACTAAATAAACGTAAGAGGGAAAGATATAAAGCCTGCCACGAGACTTCGTGAGTACGATGGCAAACGGGAAGACACTTCCCTGGGAAGCAGTAGATGAGAAGAGCCAGATAACAAAGAAAAAGGCAACTGGAGAACACTGCAAACCACAGGCAGACAGTAAAACAGCAGAGTGTTGGCACAGCTGAAGGAGCCGGCGGCTTCATCCCCTACAGCGTTTCAGCCCAGTGAGGCAGCCCTGGCAAAAACATCCATTGCCCGACCCATACAGAACTAGCCCACATTCTGTGAAAACCTCCAGTCCAACTCGGGGCTTCAGTGACACCATGGCTCCTCCATCTTGATGGGTCAGCATTGATGGGGAGCCACACCCCAGGTAAGGACTCTCCACGTCTCAGAAAGCTGTGGGCAGGCAATGTGTTGAGAGAGAGCCTATTGCTGAAAAACTGATCTACCCCCAAGCACCTGAAAACAAGAAAGTGTGAGCTCCACCTGCCTTCTCACCAGGGTAGAGACAGCCACAGTAGGCGGCTGAGGTGAGAAGGAGTCAGAACTTGGAAATTTCAGGTACCCACGGTAAAGGGTCCCTGCCCTCTGCTCTTCTTGGTGGCTAGGAACTGAGTTCATCACATGAGGGTAACTGTCAGTTTCGAGTTTTTCATGCCCAACGTTCCTATTCTTCGTGTGTATGTGTGTATGTGTGATTGTCTGTGTCTGTCTGTGTGTCTGTGTGTGTCTGTGTGTCTCTGTGTATGTGTGTGTCTGCGTGTGTCTGTGTGCGCATGTGTGCGCATGTGTGTGTATGTGTGTGTGTGTATGTGTGTGTGTCTGTCTGTCTGTGTCTGTCTATCTGTGTGTCTGTCTATCCGTGTGTGTCTTGTGCATGTGTGTGCGCATGTCTGTGTATGTGTGTGCGTGTGTGTCTGTCTGTCTGTGTCTGTCTATCTGTGTGTGTGTCTGTGTGTCTGTCTGTCTCTGTGTCTTATGTGTGTATGTATCTGTGTGTGTGTCTGTCTGTTTCTGTGTATCTGTGTGTGTGTCTGCATGTGAGCGTGTGTGCGTGTGTGTGTGTGTGTGTGTGTGTGTGTGTGTGTGTGTGCTGAGCAAGGATAAGGAGTGTCTCATGTTACTCATCCATCTGGGTGAGCTTGACTCTGAGCTTCAGGTCTTCCTGCCTCTCCTTCACAAGTGCTGGGTTACAGGGATGCACCCCAGCAGGTCTTAGGCAGCACTGGAGAGCAAATGCAATAATAGCTCATGCATTCTTCCAACTAAGCTTCATCCCAGCGTTTTCCTTTCTTCTGTTTAACCTTGCGTCCCCCTCCCCTACTTCCTTCCTTTTAAGTAACTTCTGACATTAAAGCACACACTTCTGCCCCTTTCTGCTTTCTAGTCCGCAGCGGCACTTACGTTAATCAATTCTAAGAGTATTTATGTATCTTGTTTGATTTGGTGTTGTTGCTGATAGAACCATTTTTCTCCTCTCTGAGCAGTACCAAGGCTGAGACCTCAAGAGTGCATTACTCACTAAAAAGACCCTCACGTATGTACACACGTATGTAAACACATGTGGAGGACAGTGACTGACATCAGGTGCTCCCTTTGTCCTCACAGACTGGTGGCCAACAGACCGTGAGGAAAAGGGAGACCCCACACCCAGAGCCATCTCCCCAACCCTGCTTTATGACATTTTCACACTGATATATTTCTCTATCTATTCATATCTGCCCATTAGTCTCCCCTCTCCCCCTACCTATCTCTCTCTGAGCCCCTTCCTCACCATATAATCTCCCTTCTGCCCCGCCCCTATACATGTACATTTAGCTACATAAAATTATGTGCAGAATCATATCTAGATTTTCATGAGATGTGATATTGTCTCCCACAATGCTCTCTCCTGTTCCTTCATCCTCCCTTTGCAGTTTTTCCTCTTTGCTCACTCTATTTCATGCTACACACACACACACACACACACACACACACACACACACACACAGATTCCACCTCTGAAAAAACAAGCAATTTTTGTCTCTCTTTGGCTAATTTTGCTTAACTTGTTATTCGGTTCTAACCATCTTCTTGCAAATTTCGGTCTTTATGGCTGGACAAAACACCACGTGTATACCCACCCCACCTGCACCATCATTTTTTTGGGTTGGTGGGCTTCTAGGTTGGCTCCGTGTTTTGGCTCTGATGGGTAGTGCTACTACAAGCACGGATACGCAAGCAACTCTGACGTACGCTGACTGTGATCCCTAGAGTGGTAACTGGGTTATTTCACGGTTGTACTTTAAGCCCTTACGAGCCTCTGTGTCCATTTCCACAGTGGCTACGGTAGTGCACATCCCAGCCAGCCGTGTATAGGGTGCCCCTCCCACTGCAATCTTGACAGCATTCGTCAGCCTTTGCTTTGTCTCCTTTTAAGTAGATTTTACGTGTGTGAGTGTTTGCCTGCACGCATGTGTTTATGGACACCGCGTGTGTGCCTGCTTCCTATGGAAAGAGAGTCTGGCCCCACAGAACCAGTTTACAGATCATTGGAAACCATCACATGGACACTGGGGAGCGAACCTGGGTCCTCTTCAAGAGCGAAAAGTGCTCTTACCAACTGAGCCCTCTCTCCAGCCCTCCATTTGTTTTCCTGGTGGCAACAGGATCTCAGGATGGTTTTAATTTTCATTTCCCTGATGAGTAAGAATTATGAACGGTATCTCCTGTATTTATCAGCTAGCTTTATTTTTCTCTTCTTTCTTTTTAACTTTGGCTTTTCGAGATGGGATTTCATGTAGCCCACACTAGCATAAAGTTGCTATGTAGCAAAGGATGGCTTTGAACCCGGGTTCCTCCTGCCACATCCCAAGTACCAATATTACGGGAACACAGCCTGCCAGCGTGTGGTTCTTTTGCGACTTGTCTGTTCAGTTAATTTGCCTATTTGCTGAGTAGATGGCTGCTGGATGCACGTTTAATTTTTATGGTTCTTTATGGATTCCAGGTGTTAAGGCTTTATCTGATATATGGTTGACAGGGATTCTCATAGGCCCTTTATCCTGCACACATATACAAAAGGAAAAATACATTAAGGAAACCCATTATTTTGAACACTAAAAAATATTTTAAAGTATCTAAACTGTAAATACATCTATATGCTTTTTGCAAAACATGAAACTCTACACTACAATTCATAGAACTTCTAAGTGATCTTAAATAGCCAAAACAATCTTAGGGAAAAAAAACTAAATGTCTAATATTTAAAAGCTACAGTCCAAAGTGTGGTAACAGCACAAAGACAGACATACAGACCAACACTGCAGAACCCAGAGTCCAGAGATAAACTCTTACATGTGGTGAAATGACTTCTGACTGGAATAGCAAGACATGACAGTCTTTCCACCAAATGGTTCCTGGAAAGTACTTACCCACATGCAGAGGAATGAAACTGGACATTCAACTCACACCACATACCAAACCCAAAGTGGAAGACAGATACAAACATAAGATCTAAAGTACCTAAACTAGAGGGAAATTTAAAAAAAAAAAAAAAAACAGAAAGCATAAAGAAAAAGCTTCATGTTGCTGACCAGGCAATGATTTCTTACATACGTCACCAAAACCAAAATAAATAAATAAATAAATGAACCGGAACTACATAAAACCTAGACTTTTGGACAGAGGACGTGTAACTACGTGTTACAGCATGTGCTTAGCATGTGTAAGAACTTAAGTTCAATGCCCTGCAACCCCAAGGCATCTCCAACACACCAAAGAGCAACACTCCTGACAGTGAACAGACCCTAGAGAAGGAGAAGCACTTACAAAGCACGACTCTGGTGAAATGTTAACAAAGAACCCCTAAAATTTAATGACAAAAACAAACCAACATAAACACGGCAGAAGGCTTGAGCAAACACATCTTCAAAGCTGATACACAAGCAGCCAATAAAACTGTGTAATAGCAGGGCATGGTGGCCCATGCCTTTAATCCTCAGGCAGAGGCCAGAAGATCTCTGTGAGTTCAAGACAAGAGCCACATAGTGTTCTAAAAGAAGAAAAAACAAAGCACTATGCAATGATACAAATTGTTAGGTAACTACAAATCATAAAGTAGTAACATACTATTATCACCAAGGCCCTATTATCTAAGAACAGAAAACACTGTTAGCAAAGCTGTAGACAAAATTGGAAACTATAAACACTGACAGACTATAAAATAGTACTCTCAGTATACAAAACAGCATAGTTGTTCCCAAAAAAACTAACACAGAATTGCCACGGTCCTCCAGTTCTACTCCCAAGAATTCATCTAAACAAATATTCACAGTATCCAAAAGGTGGGAGTAATCTAAGTGCCCACTAACACTTGGGATTTTTTTTAATGTACACGCACAATTAAATATTGTTATGAAGAGACTTGGAAGCTTTGTGCTGAGGAAAACAAGCCACAAAAGAGCAAACGCCATTAGGTTCCACTCCCATCCCAGACCTATACCAGTCAAACTCAGAGACGGGAAGCAAACTGCAAGCTACCCAGTGTAGGGAGAAGGACTTCTGTAGCTTCACTAGAGTTAAAAAACAATTATGAAGATGATGGTGATTATATAACATAAATGTACTTAATGTCACTGAGCCCTGCATTTAAAATATCTCTCAGACAATAAACTGACATATAATTTACTGTGGTAACATATTATTTACGATTTCCTAAAGTTTACCTGAGGATACAGAAAGCAAAGCTAGCCGCAAGCCATGGAGGCCAGGCAGCGGTGATACACACCGTTAATCCCAGCAGTCATAGTAGGCAGCCACAGAGCCAGGCCATGGTGGCACATGCCTTTAATCCCAGGACTCAGGGGACAAGCAGGTGGCCAAGATCATTAAAAAAACTGATCCAGTACTAAAAAGAAACCGCTCACACAATGGTGATCTCAGCACCTGGGATCACACACCTTTAATCCCAGGATCTGAGAAGACAAGGCGGCAGTCTGGGATTGCAGTCTGAGGTTTGGTGTGGATATTTATTCTCCAGCCATGCTAAGGAGAGGGCAGCCCTTTCAGCCTGAGGTAGAGTAAGAGCTAGTGGCCGGCTGCTTTACTTCTCTGATCTTCAGCTTGAAGTTTGAACCCCAATATGTCCTTGGGTTTTTATTTTTCGTGTTACATTTACCTCGATTTTTGTGACTGATAAAATAACTAGTCTTGCTATAATCCCAGAACCCAAGAGATTAAAGTAGAAAGACCACAAACTTGAGTCCAACAGCCAGTTTATGGCCAGCCTGGGATATTTAGCAAAGCCCTGTCTCTAAAACAACCCAAGGAGGGGAGACCCCACCACCAAAAGTCCTCACTCTTCCTTGCTGTACATGCCCAACATAAAGCAACGTTGTAAAATGTTAGTTTACCAGTTCTCTGTATCATAAGTCTTATGACCTACTATTCTCACTGAGTGCTTGAAATAAATCTGAGATCTAGTATTTTTCTAACACAAATTCTTAAAGACAATAACTAGATTTTTGTTCACACATGAGGCTTACCTGATATAGAGCAAGAGAATGCCCATATCTCTGGAGAGGTCCCCGTGATACAGCTCCTACATTCCATATACTGCTTTCCAAATTGTAACTGCAAAGAAGAAAACAAACGGTATCAGTAAGCTAAAATTCCTTTTCAGGTACTTAATTTCTGCATGTGTTTCTTCAGCCGAATACAAATTCTCTTTAAATTCAAAGGGAGGCATAACTAACGATTTCATGGGCCATGTTTAAAAATTGTTAGTAAAGCTCCAGTAAAAAAAAAAAATGACTAGCAAGACTCAGTTATTTAAATATACAGTATCCAGTACTCAAGAGACGTCTCGGTGGTTAAGAGTACTTGTCTGGACAGAGGACCATCTGTAAGTCCAGTTCTTGGAGATGTAATGGCCTGACCTACACAGGCACCAGGCACACATGTGGTACATACACACACACACACACACACGCAAAGCACTCCAAAATTTAAAACTCTAAAATTTAAAAAAAGTTAAAACAGACACATGAACTTGAGTAGAGAATTCATTAGTCTAACTGCATTCAATAATTACAGTGAACTTAAAAATAATGAGTTCCTCACTTTCAAATTAAAACAAAATCCAGTTTTTTCTTGAAAATTCCCTCATTTAAGACTTTCCACAAAATGATTTTTACAACAGTCATTTCCTTTTAATACTTATACTTATCTCTATACATATTTATCTTGAAAAAAATCAATTCATCAAGAGCTACATATTTCCTATGCATAAATATACCTGCTTGCTAGTAACTCTTTTAAGTTGTTCACGGTAATTGCAGTAGTACACAGGTTTCTGCAAAAGTAAGCTAGTCTTGCATTATGTGACACAGAAGCTTGACTTCTAGAACTCTAATGAGTACGCACACTGAAGTTCTAAAACTACGCATCTGGAGTGTTTAGTGCTCAGATTCCAGGTGGGGTAGCATCACACTCCACACTGGATATTAATTTAGGAAAGCATACATGCAGCAGCACCCCAGAAGTAAAGGGGGGCCGCTTCCCAAAGTCCAGTGACCCCTGCAACATATGAGCTTCATGCTCCCTGTGCTCTAGACCCTGCAACTCTGCAACAACTCCCCCATCTTCCCTTTGGGGTATGTGTGTGTGTGTGTGTGTGTGTGTGTGTGTGTGTGTGTGTGTGTGTGTGTGTGTGTGCGCGTACACGTGTATATGAGTGCATTGTGTGCACGTGTGCGTGAGTGCATGTGTGTGCACCTGTGTGCACGTGTGTGTGAGTGTGTGTGTTCCTTCTGTCTTACTGGATCAGCACACATGTCTGTAAACAGATTTAAACAACAACACTGTGACCTTACTTCCCCTTCAGGCTACCACTCTGCTCCGCAGCTTCTCCGCCTTTATTTCTATTCTCTCTTACACTAACTGCAGAAAGATGTTTAACCCAACTACTCCACAAACCTGCTTTTAAGGTCAACATCTTCAGAGCAAATCCTTGGCCACTGTCCTGCCATCTGTCTTAGTTAATGGCCATCATTTGAAGTGGGTGGCACTGTAATTCTTGCATTCGCTTCGCTCTGAAGACACTGCCCTGGGTGGCTTCCCTAGACCTCTGGACATTCCTTCCCACGCTGTTTGCTGGTTTCTCTTCTCCCTCTCAGCCTTCTAGTGTTTCAGCCGCTGTGGCTCAGGTCTTGCTCTTCCCTGAAGAAAACTCATCCCCGTATAACTTCCTTCTAAAGAAATGCCTGTGTCTACTCTTCTTCCCAGATTCCCTATGTTCCAAGCCAAATGGTCTGTGTGTCTTCTAAAGTGTCACTCAAGGCATGCTCTAACCTCCATGACTCACAGCTGTGCAATTTTAACAACTGCGTACTACCACAAAAATATCTGTTTACATATCTGGGCAATGAAACTTAAGTTTATTATAAAACTCTAAAAGCACACACTTACTTCAGAACCATTTGAAAAGAACTGTAGTTAAAGGTATATCCTCCAATCACCCACATAAATTTCCCATGTAAAACTGCTTTATGGGAAGCCCGACCTACAGAAGGGCTGAAGGGCTTAACGTTTGGCAAAATCCAGTAGGACTCCGTAGAAGGAACATTCAGAGAACAATCCGGACCTGTTTAAAAAAATAACCACACACACAACACACCGGATTAAATAAAGATCACAGATTACAGAAGCAGATTGCACAGGTTAGAAGAATTTAAGAACATAACGTTCACCATTTTAGAAATGTGAGGTCAGTGACCGTCTGACCCCTCTTGGTGGGTCACACCTCTAAAGCCTTCAGCCAAGAAGCTGAGGAGAAAGACTGAAATCTCAAGCACTAACAAGCAAGTTTAGCCTGAGCTACATAGGAAGAATTTTTCCCAAAATCTTCCCTCATAAACAAGAGTCTGAAATACACTTTGCAAGTAAATAATTAACAATGGAAATACAATCAGATCTTAACAGGTTCTAATGACTATCAGAATCTATGAAAAAAATCTTAAATAACATGAAACTTCATATTTATTTTGATGTGCTACCAGAGTATTAAAATGGAAAACAACACCCTCAAATTCTAGTCCTGTCAACAGTGACATCACCTTGAAAAGATTTGTTTACCTTGCCAATCATCAAGCTTCCATCTACAAAGTGGAAATAGCAATCTGCTCGCAAATACTATTACAAGTTTTTAATATTTCACAGAATAGTATCTAAAGCATTTGTAAGTCATAAAACATTGAACAAAGTGGAAATAAGAATCGCCGTTACTAACACCCAATCTTCAGTAGGTGGGTTCATGTATCCACAAAGAAAACGAAGTGCAATAAAATGAAAGCTATTTTAATCTACAGTAAGTTTCCTAAAACGAAAGCCATCATTAGTTAGAGTGTCTCCTGCACAACTGCTCAGTCTTGGTTCCCTCGCCACAAGATGCAGATGAGGGGGATCCACAGCCCTGAAACCCAGGTCACAGAAGGAGTCCTAGGGCTCCAGCCCTCTTCTTGCTACATGGCACCCTACACCTGAATGCACTTATGCAGCATCGTCTCTGTCCCAAGCACACCTGGTGTCACTGCACTTCCTGTCACTGCACTTCCTGTCACTATACTTCCTGTCACTGCACTTCCTGTCACTGTGCTTCCAGTCACTTAGTTTCCTGTTACTGCATTTCCTATTACTGCATTTTCTGTCACTGCACTTCCTGTCACTGTGCTTCCTGTTACTGTGCTTCCTGTCACTGCATTTCCTGTCACTGCACTTCCTGTCACTGCGCTTCCTGTCACTGCGCTTCCTGTCACTGCGCTTCCAGTCACTGAGTTTCCTGTTACCGCATTTCCTGTTACTGCATTTTCTGTCACTGCACTTCCTGTTACTATACTTTCTGTCACTGCATTTCCTGTTACTGTGCTTCCTGTCACTGCATTTCCTGTTACTACACTTCCTGTTACTGCACTTCCTGTCACTGCATTTTGCAGATGCATTTGTCACAAGCAGAGGCCTATGGCTGCACGAACTGAACCAGGACTGCATGGCTGTCTTTGAGCAGGGTGTCTCTTGTGTCTCAGTTTTTCACTCTCCAACCTATAACTGTATTACTATGTACACCACCCGAGGTCATCACCACCCACACCTATTTAAAACAACAAAGCCAACCGGTAAATGTGTGTTCTGGCTGCTTCGGGAACTGACCAGTCCCTATTCTCTCCCTCTGCTGAATCTTTTTATCACTGGAGATAAAACAGTATTGACACTAAATGAATAATTACAACAGTCTCTAAATACTGAGATGCAATAAACAGCAGACGCTGCCTCTTGTACCAACAGCCACGTCGTGAATGCAGAGGAAATGGAAAGAGCTACCCCGGATAAAAACGAATCCGCAGAGGTGAAATGTCCTCACTGCTCATGGTGCAAGTTCTGGGGGTTTGCATCGAAGCTCAAACCACTCATAGCAGCCCTTTAGACCCAACCTGATCCAGAAGCAAAGGGCAGACCACAGTCAAGTTCTCCTCTGTTCAATTCTCTGAATGCGCAGGGAGGGAGGGAGGGAGGGAGGGGGAGGGAGGAGGGGGGGAGGGAGGGAGGGAGGGAGGGAGGGGGGAGGGAGGGAGGGAGGGAGAGGGGGAGGGAGGGGGAGGGGGAGGGGGAGGGGGAGGGGGAGGGGGAGGGAGCAAAGCCTGGAGTGAGCAGAGGTCACTGGTTACAAGGAGCAAGGGAAGAAGCTGGTTCCATAAAGCAACCAGCAAGGGCCAATGGAGACTGCAGCAAGCTGGGCACTGGCAACGCTCTAGGGGGTTTCGTCGCCATTCTGACACCAGTGGGACTATCTGAGATTATGGAAGAAGGTCAAAATGCCAACACTGAGAGGACTTTCAAGGAGACGCTATCAGACCCGTGGATACTTGTAGGGCTTCAAGTACATACAGTACAGGAAGTAGCCGCCAAGCTGGTGGGCAGAGCACAGAAATATAACTGAAACGGTGCCGTCTCATTAAAATGTTAACAGAGTTACTTCTTGTGATGAGCAAAACAGTGGATTCCCAAGATGAATGGATCCACCAACCAAGATGCTGTGGACACTTCAGAAAGACAAATTTAGCATACTGCTTGGTAGGTAGAGAGGTGTGGCAGACTCCAATGCTGAAAGAAGTTCTTTCGGGGTAAAACGTTATCAACCAGTATTACATAAATAGAATTGCAAACGTCACTGACCTACCCTTTAAGAAACAGTCACAGTGACTACCAGCTCGATCCGGGACTGCACCAGCACAGTCCTGAACTGCAGCACCTAGGGATCTAGGAATGAGGGATGCTGGCTCCAGGCGAACATGGACACTGACTAGACATCTGATAAAACATTGCAATGAGAACGGAAAACGTGAATGACTCAAGCACTTGAGGATACTATCCCTGGCTCAGTGATAGACAGATCGTCGATATCAAGAAGAGATCATTTTAAGAGTTATTTTGCAAGACCTTAAAAATAGGTGTCTTCCATATACAATGTGGCCATTGCACCCATGAAGTCACTGCAGCTCTGATTAGTTATTAGCATGTACAAGGTCAACCCAGCAGGGCAGTCAGCATTCCAGAAGGCAGTGGATTATAAAAAAAATCCGACCAACCAACCCCCAGAATGTGGAGGGCAGACAGACAACCCCCATGTTGAAGAGGATTAATTACAGTTGAGAGATCGCATGGATCGCAGAAAAAAAACTTTGAACTTTGGACTTTTAAACGTTGTTGAGACTGTGATAGAGCACGGAGACTTCTGACGTCTCAAATGCTCAAGCCAGGTCCAGCATCTCTCTTCCTGCTGCTTGCTGGCCCAGATGTAGGTCTCTCACCTACCTCTCCAGGGCCATGTCTGCCCGCATACCGCCATGTTTCCTGCCGATGACAATGGACTAAACCTCTGAACTGTAAGCCACACCCAATTCTGTATTCCCCTTTATAAGAGTTGCGTGGCCATGATAGCTCTTCTCCGCAATAAAACCCAAACTAAAGCACAGTTCCAGAGGGATAATAAATAATTCACTGACAACAGGTGTCAGGGTGGCACCTAAGAGCTGACATTTCCAATCTCAAACTGGAAGCAATGACATGCCAGGAATGGCTAGAGGCCTTTGAAACCTCACAGCTCACCCCTCAGGTGATGCAACAGTTACTAATCTACTGTTAATATACAACAATCACTATAGAAAATGAAAATATTTTAGTTTCAAATTTTAATTGGAAAAAAAGCCTCAAAGCAATTTCTGAAGACACAAACTTTGGAAATGCCAAACCACTGAAAAATACAGTCCTATCACTAGTGAACACCTGAAAATTTGCACCCACCTTGACCACAAATAACAGATAATCAATAATAAAATCCTTGTTGATATAAGTCACTGGTATAGGGTGCCTGCGTGTGATTCTTAGGGCAGAGAGAACCACGGTTGTAGTGCTACTGTATTGTCAGAACACATGCTCAGCGTACCTCTGCACTATATAATGTGGGAGTCATAGTTCCCTCTGTCAAAAACTCATGTATCAGCACAACGGATGCCTCTCTGCAAAGTCATCACCCCTTAGCTCAACTCCACACTGAGAAATGCATAACTATATACTAGATGCTTAAGAAACCCAAACTCCTCAGTGTGGTTCAAAGCTAACCCTGAATCAGGCAGGATATTGTAGAATTCTTTACTGGGAACCTAACTTTTACAAAAGGCAGCTAAATAAACTTCCACTTGCTGGAAGTCCGTGTTCTTTTTTTTAAATAGCCACAAGGGGTCAGTCTTTCCTAAGAAATACATTTAAAATGCTCCTGTGCCTGTGAGAAGGCTTTTATTTTCAAAATATAGTTGTTACCCTTTATGAAGTGAATTTGAATACACCACACATTAAATCCAGTGAAGTCATCTAATCTCTGGAGACTCAACCAAAAATTACAGAAGATCATAATGATCCTATACCTACAATTTAACATTTAATGTGTAACTTTCATCTAATCTGTAAAACGGCATGTAGACAAGTCTTTACCAATTCTGTTATGGAATAATCTTTTTGTACACTGTGAAGATGTGTATTTGCCAGAGCATCTGCTGATTGGTTTAATAAAGAAGTAAATGGCCAATAGCTTGGCAGGAGGTATAGGAGAGACTTCCAGATAGAGAGAGAACTCTGGGAAGAAGAGAGGCCATGGAGACAGGGACGCATGAAATGCAAGAGAGGTAAAGGCCACGTGGTAGAGCGTAGACTAATAAAAATATGAGTTAATTTAACCAGTGGGACAAGCCTAAGCTAAGGCCATTCTTTCACAATTAATAATAAGTCTCCGTGTCATTATTTGGGAGCTGGCTGGCAGAGCAGAGAAAGACTTGTTACATCTATTTGTGAAAATGCAGATTACTAAAACTTTAGCTGTTGATCTAAACACACCAAAAGAAGAAAAAGGAAAGAGACCTGGATTTGCAAACTAAAGCAAGCGAATGCGGAATTCCCCAGCGCCATCCCGCACCCTGCATGCTTACCTTGCCAGCTATCATTGCAGACACAGAGCTTCTCTCCTGTCAGGTCACAGTAGCCGTGGTCTGGACTGCCACAGTTGGCTTTGCAGTACGGGATGTCACACGCCTCCCCTTTCCAGTATTTATCGCATTCACAATACACTTGACTTGCAATGGGAACACTAGCTGTGCACTTCCCGTGGCCAGAGCAATTGTTGGGACAAGAATTGATTCTGCAAAACATAACCCATGTGCTCAGACATCACTCATGTATTCAGACTCAAGGCAACGAAACATGAATCGAGTGGTTTTTGTAACGTAACACAATTTCGCAGTGTGGCTTCGTTCTTTGTTCGGTACCCCGTTTTTAGAGTCAGGGTCTCGGTCTGTAGTCCAGGCTGGTCTCCTGCCTCAGCTCCCGGGGAGGGGCTGGCACTGCAGGTATGAGCTGCCACTCCTCCATTTCTCTCCTCTTCATTTCAGGTGTTACCTGTTTGATTTAGTTCATCCAATAAAAGTGTTTCGCCCCAAACTCCAATGTGCAAGGACTACAGGTTCAGGCTCTGAAGCCTCTGTAAAGCCTTAAAGAAACACTCTGAATATATATTCTAAGAGAAAGAGAAGTTTATGAACGCCTGAAACTTAAAAGAAACAAGAAATGACGTGGCTCTAACCTGAAGACACAGGCCACCCCCTATACACCCCAAAGAGACATGTCTATCACATTTTATTTTAATGCCCTTTAACAGGCTGTATTCTAATTTTATACACACACACACACACACACACACACACACACACAAATATACACACTTTCCCGTGTGTGCTTATTTGGATACATTATAGTATAAAAAGATCCTACAATAAATTGATGATTCAAGGGCATTTTAAAGGCTTTACTCCTGGTGGAACTTTTTCTGATGAACAATTTATGCCTTCATGAAGAAAAGACAAAAAAATCTGACAAATTATTCTGTGGCCATTCCTCTAAAGCACCTGACTTTACTCCTGGACTTCTAGATATAAAAGTTTTTTTATGAAAATAAATATGTTAAGAAGTTAGAGAGATAGCCCATGGCTAAGAGCAATGGTTCCCCTTCCTGGGAACCCAGGTTAATATCCAGGGCGTACATAATGGCTCACAACTATCTGTGACTCCAGTTCTAGGGGATCCAATGTTGCCTGGCTTCCACAAGCACTAGGTGAGCATGTGATACACAAACATGTACTCAGACAAAACACCCATGCACATAAATTCTAAATATTTTAGATAAATAGACATATGTGTTGAACAAAATCAAAGAGAACAGAAACTTCTAAGTTCAGAAGCTACTAATACCTGGATAAAATGATGAAGCCAATTTAAAACTTCAACAAAACAATATTAATATTGGAAAAACAAACAGAAATTGCAGAATGAAAATCTCAGTAAGTCAAATAAAAAAATTTTGGAAAGCCTTGCCAATAAACAGATCAGGTGAAGTACCAGAATACCAGGGCTTAAAGGTAAGGTGGATAGCATCAAACATTCATAAAACCATAAAGCATACAGGAACAGAGAGAGCATGCAAGACATATAGGACACCACTCTAAAACCAAACTTCCAAATCATGGGCATAAAAGCACAAACTAAAAGCACAGACAACACACTTATTAAAAAAAAAAATCACACCAGAAAATGTCCCAAATATAGGGAAGAAATGGCCATTAGATACAGGAGACATGCAGCACACCAGTCAAGACCAGAGAAGAAGCCCCTACACCAAATGCAGGCGCAATCCCAAGAATCCAGAGCCAACAGTGGGCACTGAAAGATATCTGAGAAAAGATGAAGCCACGCACACAGAAGCTAATCAGAATCACAGAGGCCTCTCACGAGAGACTACATGAACCAGGAGGGCAGAGTAACATATTTCAATCCCCTAAAGACAGTAACTACCAATCCGGCAAAACGGCCCTTCCTAACTGAACAAGACCAAAAACTTTATGTTCTGTGAAAAACAGAAACAAAAAGAACTCTGGCCACTAAGCCAGCATTAGAAAAGACGTCCACAGAAATCACACGAACTCCAGTGTGAGCAGTGCTGACATCTCACGATGCACCCGAAACTGTGATTAGAATAGACCATCAGGACAATAGCATTTATCAAGAAGCAAAGCCGATTTCATAAGACAAATACTATTAGACATAAAGACAGACTGACCTCAAGACAATAGCAGATGGCATCAATACCCCACACTGGACGGACAGGTACAGACAAAAAAGTCAACAAAACTTGTCAGACTTAAATGACTTAACAGACATCTATATGACACTCTAACCCAGACATGCAATCTACACATCCTTCTTCACAGCCCCTGGGAACTTTCTCTAAAATGGAATACATGTTAGGACACAGGAAAGTCTTAACAAATACCAGCAAATCAGAACAATGTCTTACACTCTCTTGGAGCACAATGGGATAAATAGAAACCAACAGGAGACTAGGAAAATATACAAAAGCATAGAGACTGGAAAACACATTCCAGAAAGAATTTTAAAATCCCTACAATCAAATCAAAATGAAAACTCAATATACCAGAACCTATGTATTTAAAAACAAAAGCAGTTATCAGAGATAAATTGTTGTAAATACCATTCATTAAAATCATGGAAATCTCAAATAAAAAAAAAACAACTGAGTGATGGAACTTCAGGTCTTAGAAAACCAAGAACAAAACAAAACCAAAATCAGGAGACAGAAAAAATAATAAGTATTAAGGAAGAAATTTAAAAAACAGAAGTGAACAATATAAAGAATAAATAAAATAGGATGGGTTCCTAAAAGAGGTAAGACTGACAAAGCCTTAACCAAACTAACGAAACAAAGAGAGAAGACCCAAATTAATGAAATTGAAGCAGAAGAGAAAAACAGTACGACACCAGTGATGCCCAGAAGATCACAGAAGCACATTTAAAACCCTATATTCCAATAAACTGGAGTTCTGGATAAACTCCTAGAGGCCAGTCAGAATGAAGACTACAGGTGGAGTTTCTGTTCCGCCTGGTCCCACAGCCGTTTAGCCACAAATAAACACACAGAGACCTACATTAAATATAAACTGTTTGGTCAATGACTCAGGCTTCTTACTGGCCAGCTCTCTCTTAATTATTAACCCACAACTACTAATCTATATATTTCTACATGGTCTTATCTTACCGGAGAATGTCCAGCATCCTATCTTCCCAACAGCTACATGGCATCTTTCTCAGGTGACCTCTCTCTCCGCCCTCTCCCCAGCATTCTCCTCCTCTGGTAGACCCGCCTATACTTCCTACCTGGTTACTGGGCAACCAGCGTTTTACTCATCAACCAATAAGAGAAACACATAGACAGAAGGACATCCCCCATCAGAAGACTATATGAACAGTTTAAACAGCTCTAAGACAAGCAGTGACACTGAGTACAAGTGTCCCAACCAGAAAGCCCTCAACCCAGAAGGACTGTTGGATTCCACCCACCTTTAAAGAGTACCAGTGACTTGCCTCAGAGCGTTGTACAGGTAGAAAATTTTTGTACAAAGTGTTAGACACAGAACAGATTTTCAATGAGCATTGTTTTTATTATTTTAGAAGAAAACATTTATCTCTTATGCCTCAATGTCTTCATGTGTAACATGAAAAAAAAATCCATCGCTGTCATGGTGAAACTGTTATAAAGGAGACTAAATCACGTAATGTAGTTACAGCACCTAGGATGTCTATGGAACAGAGGAACTGACAGACCCTGATTCCTACAGGCTTACTCAAATGCAAACAGAAGTTTCAGGTTCCCTGAAATGCCAAGTACGTGTTGCTATATGTGTAAAACAACTCTAGTACTGTTTTACCTAATTATTTACTTAATCAAACAATTTTGAATTTTGTAATTAACTTATAAGCCACACAATTTGCAACTGTAATAACCTCCAGACTTGAAAATTATCATAAACCAGACTTAGAGGGCAATCTGTGGTACATTGCCAATACTTTACATCATGTAGAAAAAGAGCCTATATATGCTGAAATTTAACACACCAACCTGTGTCCTGGTGCATAGGATGTTTGTGTAACTGTCTCACTAGATGACACTAAACAGATACTTACGAGTAAAAAATGTTGAAGCCAGTCAGGTTATATGCAGCATCGCTAAAAAAGTGCAGCAGCGCATAGCCAGATGTTGTGACAACCTCAGGCACCGTCTCGTTGCCCCTCACTTCAGGGACGATCAAGCCACTAAAGCAAAGGAGAATTGAGAACTGTAGGAATCCATGTGACTCTGCACAGAAAATCTGCTCAAAAACACTATCCCAAAGCCCACGCATTAAAAGGGAGAACTAGCTGGACAGCACATACCGAATTTATCAGTGTCTACCCCCATGGGTCTACTGCTGATAATAAAGTAGCACAGACTGTCATGCCTCCTCGCCATCACCTTCCCTCCTCCCCATGCTCCTCCTCCTCCTGGTCTTCCTCCTCCCTCCTGCGCCTCCTGGCCCTCCTTTTCTAACACTAATTGGATTGATATGTCCCCATTTCTCCTGTTTGTCCCTGCTATCCATGCTGCTGACATGACAGTTCTCCACGACTCACACCCGGGCTTCACTCTAAGCCACGAGCTGGCATCCTAGCAGTAGCTGGAAGAGCTTTCTCCTCCCCCACTGACTACAAAAGTAATGAAGAAATACTTTGTAGCTGTTTCATGCCCACAGAGAATCTACTCAAACTTTGTTTCCAATACAAAGATCTAGACATCAGATGCTTTCAAAACACGTGTTTTTGTTTCTGTAAAACTCTGCTTATTGTTACATTAGAACATAAATATTCCCAAACAGTATTTTCCATCTAGGTAAATAAGTACACAAAAGAAAACATATGGCAAAGGGCAGAATAATGAATGTAGGGAAGTCCTAAGCATCAGATATTTTTGTTTAGTGGGTGGTTGGCTGGCTGGAATTTCTTTTCTTTTTTTCAGTTTTTTGATCCACTCTCACACTGCAGCCCAGGCTGATCTTGAACTCATGATGTTCCAGCTGTCTTCGCCTCTCAAGGGATGGGGTTGCAGGTGTGAGCCGCAAATCCAGCTTTGATAATAGTCCTCTATTCTACCTGCTCATATGGAGAAACTACATTCTTCATTTAGTTAGGCCAAACTATTCTCTCTAAATGTGTGAAGGCATGCAGTAGGATGAAGAAGCTGAGAAGCAAATAATACAACTCAAAATAGTGGATTCTTTTTTTAATCCACTATTTCCATATGGAACATACACGGGGACTGATGCATACACTTGCAGAATCACCACAGCCCAGCTACAGAACATGTCCATCATTCGGTGGTGATCTTACACCTTCACTGTCAAAACTCCTCCACCTACAAAACCATTCTGCATCTTTGTCTCTTTAGGACATTATAAAATATAACACGGAGGTCTGTCTTCTACACGTGGCTTATTTCATTCAACATGGCTTTTGAGATTCCCAACTTTTTTCAAGTATCCACTGCAGAGTGTAGCCTTCCCCGCCAGCCGCCTGGGCTCTGCCACAGTTGTAGTCCCCAAATAACACACAGGACGCTATATTAATTGTAAGCTGTTGGCTGTTTGCTTGTTTCTTAGTGGCTAGCTCTGACTTAAGTATTTAACCCATAACTGTTAATCTAAGTATTTCTCTTGCTGGAGAAAAGGTCCAGACCTCTTACTTCTATGGAGTCTACATGATGTCTGCCTGTGTCTCTCTTTCCCAGAATCCTCCTGAACTCCTAGTCCCACCTATCTTTCTTCCTTATTGGCCAACAGTGCTTTATTGACATATACACAAGACTTCCCCATCATCCCACAATCTTTCATTTCTCAAAGTAGCAAAAAAAAAAAAAATCTGTCCAAGTTAAAGTAATACTTAGGCATCACTGGGAACTGAATCCCCTCAAACAAATCATATTTGATAGAAAAATGAGATCATGAAGATGTTTTTATTTTTGAATACAAACAAATTTAAAAGTAGCCAACCCCTGGTTTATTGCATCTACTAGGTGTGATGATAGAGAACAGATGATTTTAAAAGATTTTCAACAGAGTTTGGTTTCTACACCACCAGTCTTGGTTTTACGTACACGTGTACTTCCTCCCAGTTTCACAGTTGCGTGATTACATCTGTTGTGTAACTTGACTTGAGGAGACACATGCTGACATCTACTTGCCCTCTGAGGCTTAGGCAACGCCATAGAAGAGGGGGAGAAAAGAATCTAAGAGCCACAGGAAGGCTTGGGTTTTGTTGTTGCTGCTGCTGCTTGCTGTCTGTGCTGTCTGTTAGCTACTTCCAAAAGGAAAAAAAAAAAAGAAAAAGAAAAAGAAAGACAGAAAGGAGGGAGCAAGGGAGGGAGGGAGGGAGGGAGGCATGAAGGACAGATGTACGAACATGCTAAAAGTCTCTCCTGAAGGACAGTGCAGTCCCAGAAGACACACAAGGCTCAGGGGCTCAGAATGGAAAGCTGGGAAACTCTGGAACTGGTCCAGTTGTCTGCAAGTTGGGCAGGGAGACTGAAGGATGCGGCTTTTGTGACTTTCTATGCTGGGACAGTTCTCAGTGATGCAACTACCTTTTTGTCACCCAAGCTCCTGTAAGAAGCCTTTCAATCGTGTTCCTGTAGCTAACCCCATTCACTAAGTTAAACTTGTACAAAATTGTCTCTTTGCTCTTTCACTGGGGCCCAATCTGAGCTGAATTCGTGTTTCTTCATATCTCCTTAAAGGTTGTGTAATCACAAAACAAAATAAACATGAGTACACCAGAAAAAAAAAAGAGAAAACAGATATTCTTAAAACTTTAAAATACCAAACCTTAGAAAGTTCTCTGAAAAAAAAGAAAAAAATGATTTGCTTCCTTGCTCATTTATAAATGGTTTTAAAGCAATAAATGAAGGTGATGGAGAGACAGCTCAGCAGTTAAGAATGAGCGATACTCTTGCAGAAAAATCCAAGATTGGTTCCCACCACTCACATCAAGCGGCTCAAGGCCACTTGTAATAGGAATCCAGAGTCCTCTGCCCTCCATAGGCACCTACACATGGAGGACATTCCTCTCTTCACTGTTGAAAACCAAATTTTTAAGACCTAAAAAGTTGGGAGATGGGTGTCAAAGATTTTCCAGAGCTCAGAAGCAAAGGGGTAACCCTTACTTTGAAGTAGGACCCCAACAACTAGGAGACGGGAATGATGAACTGCTGTGTGCCGGCTCTGCTCCTGAACTTGAGCTGAAAGTGAACTGCTGGAGACCCCAGTTACTTTCTCCAGGAATAGAGCTTTCCAGGCCTAATTTATTAATACATCCAATTATTTCCAAATTCAGTATCCAACAGAAATCCTTCCAGCACCAGAGGGGAGTAAGGGTGTTAGACATAAACCTTCTCAATTACAAATAATCTTCAAAGTGTAGTAGCGTCTTGCCTACAGAGTAAGATCTAATTACTTCTTTCGTATGGTGTATAAGGAATCGCTACTTCAGTGACCCAAGAACTGAGACACAAGGACTCATTCTGACTGTATTGTTTGCCAGAGAAACAACTTTGCTACCAGTTCTCGGAATAGTAACTTCAAACACCTGAAATTCCTAAAGAGACAAACTGTCTGCCATTTACAGTAGGCCTTGACGGTTTCTGTGGATGGGTCCCTTCATAACGGAATCTAAAGGTACACTTCAAATTGGGGGATGGTCACTCCAGCAAAACCAACCATGTGATGTAAGAGCTGAAGTCACCTGGGATCAACCTAACTTACTAACAGAGGAGGGAAGAGTAGAGATTTGTAGTCAGCCTCCCCATGGACAAACAACCCTACACAATGAAAGAAGCAACTGAAAACCAGTTCTGCACCCCTGAAACTCAGGGGAGCCTCCAACTGCTGATGTGCTAGCTGGGTCGCATCCTAAGGGCACAAATGTCCTTCGTCGGTCATCAGTCCCAATCCTAGCCTGATTGCCATTTCTACTCTTGAGAATAAAACTTCAGACACAGACACGGCACTTTGCTGGGTTCTGCGAATCGTTCTTGAAGATGATCAACAATTGGGAAGTATGGGTTCCCTGGATTTGTGGGGACATCCTCCAACTTCCCACTGGTGTCTGCAGTGAGAACGGGTTGTGTGCCCTCTCTACGGCAAGTTTCGTCCTCGCCACGACCTTTGCCTCACGCCTCACCACACCTTCCAAGCTCCTGACAGACTCTGGTATTCGAGGCAGCTCTGAAATGTAACAACCTTCCATGTAGCTACCTGAGTGATAAATATTTATGGTGTTATAATTCTAAAATAATTAAATGCTTATTCTTAGCAAAGTAGAATGTAACAGCATGTGCTTCTGAATTGAGACCGAAATCCTAATCCTGGCTTATCACCTTCTAGAGGTAAATGATTTCTCCGAGTCTCAATTTTCCCCCCCTGTGGTAAAATGGAAGCTAATAGTACTTCACCCACAAGACTTCTGAGAGGTTTAGATAACATTCAAACTGGCAGTCGCAATGCTTTAGCATCAAGCAGATATTCAAAAAGCTACAGTTTCCCAACCCCTCGGTATCTTTGACCAAAAGCAACTTGGAGGAAAGTGTTAATTGGCTTACATACTCTGAATCACAGTCCACTGGTGGAAGCCAAGGCAGGAACACAAACTGGGCAGTATCCTGGACCAGAATCGCATGCAGAGGCCACAAAGGAGTGTTAATCACTGGGGCTGGCTCCTCTTGGCTCCTACGGCTCACCCTGCTTTCTCACAGAAGCCAGGACCACAACAAGCCCAGGGTGATGCCGCCCACGAAAGGATGGGCCCTCCCATGTCAATCGCTGACTAAGAAGCTGCCCTACAGGCTTTCCTGCAGCCTGATCTTACGGAGGCTTTTCTCTTGGTGGAGGCTCCCTCCTCGCAGGTGACTACAGAGTGTGCCAAGCCCACATAGAGCTGGCCAGGTCACTCAGGGTATGAGGACTGCCTGATAACAAAATAAAACCAGCTCCATCTTCACAGACTGGGCGCGCCCTGATAATCACCTCAGGAGAGATCCCTTTAGTAACAGGAGAACATTGGGAATAGGTGTGATAAACAGGTGTTGATGATGCAGGGTCATTAGGGGACTGAGAAAATAACCTAGGTAAGAGCCAGTCGACAATGCCATAAAGATAATGAAATGATCGCACGCGGAGCATTAATTGTCAAAGGTAAGTGTGCAAACCCAGTATCTTATCTAATTGTCATAATAAATTTTCTTATATCAGTAATTATTTTCAAGGGTCTATTACATTTTTAATAGAGTGCCTTAAAACTACTATTTCTAACTTTACTTTCTACAATGCTCAAAGACTCAGAAGGTCTAAAGGGGTCCAGGGATGTTTCAGTGGTTGAGACAGCTTGTTTCCCTTGAAAGGAGACCAGAACTCAGTTCCCAAAATCCAGGTCAGAAGGCTCACAACAGCAAGCTCCCGGGCTTCAATGCATTCTTCTGACCTCCATGCGCACAAGTGCGTGTACACGTGCACACACATACACACACACAATCTTTTCTTAAGCACTTCCAAAGTATTCCCAGCAATATCACAGAATAAATACCTACACTGCCTATTACAGGCTCACTCTAAAACAGTCATAAATTATGAACTCATAAAGTGAAATGGAAATACCAGACCTTAAATGTTAGTCCTACAGAAATTCAAACTATTGATGAAATTAAATATTTACTGCATGACAGTGAAAAGAATATTTTAAATTAAAATAATTTTGGGGAACGACAATCTTTTATCTACACTTAAATTTTCAACACTGACAGAACATGAGAGATACTGTGTAACACAAGGTAAGAATAAGGTAATAGGCAATTTGCCAACAGTCATGCTGGCTAACTTGAATACAAAATCTATATTATATGTCCATACTTTTTCTGTGTCCCATATATTTTTTCCTCCTTCTCACAGCTGTCCAATAATGCAGCATTATTAAAATGTTTTAGTAAGTACTAAAATGCTATAATTCAACATTAATGTCCTGATTGTCTGACTGCTTACAAAATATTATGAAATAACCCAAGTTTCCAAACCTTTGAGACCTGGTAGAGACACCTCCTCATTAACCCTATACCAAGTATAAGTTAATCCTTGTTTTCAGAATTTAAATTTCCTCCATTCACTACAACAAAAAGACAATTGTAAAAAACAAACAAACACACACACACACACACACACACATATACTTGTTTATGTCAGTCTGAACTCACCCACATCTCTCTAAAAAGATATTTATGAAAACATATTCAAACCACTGTAAACACAGAGAAAGAGTATTTACAAAGAAGTCTATAGTCCTACAGTACAGCGATTATTCACCTAAGCCTTATTTATATTACTGTGTATACCTTCAGGTGACAGTCATAGCACACAGAGTATTACAGTAATCTGTGAAATCCAGCCATCAGCCACCATCATAACCTTGAATACAGATCTATAGAGCAAGACTTCAAATAAACAAACTATAGTTATTTACTCTCCTACGGCTGTCAATAAGCTCATCGGGCAAGTGTAATCACTTACCTAAGCACAGCTACTAAAGGTGCATATATCGAATCCCCATCATATACATACATATGATCCCAGCTGCATTCAGTAGCAAAATGATTGAATCTTAACCTCAACACTGCATTTGGACTAAAAGGAAAAAAAAAAAACAAGAGTATCTTTAAGTTCATGTAAAATACATAAAATGTAATATTTTTAAATTAGACATAGTATTTTATTAAAAATCCATTTACAGATACTTTTCCTACAGATCATTAAATAACCAGAAGGAAAAAAGATTTGCTGTCAAGACACTGGTTTCAAAATACACTTACTTTTTCTTAAAAATGCAGTCAACAATAAAAGGCAGACTTCACAGATTTGATTAAGGCAGAGGCTATATGCTTTACATATGTACACTTTTTTAACTGAAACCTTAATTGCATACTAACGCGGATGCATTTTATCACTGTGAGTTGTACTTGAATAAAGTTGGTTACAAAGTTTCAACATTCAAAAGCAACTATTCTCACCTATACAGAACCTTTAAGGACAGGCATTAGGTTCTTTCCATCTTTTTCTCAAATTAGTGATACACTATGAAGAAACAAAATTAGACTACAGGTAAATAGCCCTTGTGGTTTAAAAAGACTTTTAAAGTAATCCAAAAAGCATGGCTTTCCAAATGTACTCTAAACATCATAAAATAGTACCAAAGAATACCTCCCAACTCATTTGTGGCCTACTCACCAAAAGTTTAAAAAGCTAAAGCTTCCCCCATTGTGAAAAGTAGCCAGAAGCAAACAACTCTTCTAAAAAATACTATAAACATATTTTAAAAGATCCTTAACACAATTAAAATTTTTAAAGGACCAACAGAACTAAAATGCTGAAAATTATTAACCAACGGTGTAACCAAGCACAGAATATTAACCAATAGCATAACCAAGCACCGAATATTTACACTTTCTAAAGGATTTGTAAAGTTCCTAACAAGATGTTTCTCCAACGCCACAAGGCCTAATGTGCTTAGTCCTGCAATAATGTAACTCAAAAACAAAATACATATTCATCTATTATACTACAAATGGAAAGTTCTATGATTTACATTTTTAAACTTCATATAAATGATGCATATGTTCCAATAATAAGCAAGGAAATAAAATATATAGGAAGTCATTTTACCTAATGCTTTCACATTAATCATTTACTTTAACATCTCAGAATAAAATCACGTTATTTAATTCAAATTGTATACTTACTAGCCTTCAATTAGCCAGGTACACTTAGTCTTATATTTATAGTTAATTGGACCATCTGTTAAATATCCGGAAGGCTCTGTTAACCTAGAAAAGAAAAATCATGAAAACAGTCACCTTAAGGGTAGCACCAAGGCATGCAGTAGTATGATAAAATTCAAATCTTTAGGCCCAAAGACTCAGACATAGGAGGCTGCAGAGATGCACTAGGTAAGAGCACTGACTGCCCTCCCAGAGGCCCTGAGCTCAGTTCCCAGCACTCACATGGCGGCTCACAACTCTCTGTAAAACTACAGTTCCAGGGGATGTGGCACACTCACACAGGCAGACATATACGCAGGCAAACTCCAATCGATGCCCACAAAAAAACAACAGATAACTTTAAAAATGATAACGTGACGTAACAGTTTACAAATTGGAGGCTGTATTGACAACCTAAAACAATTTTTCTCTCTACAACTGAAGAGAAATTTAGTCTCAATTTCTAGAAACTTGACAAACCGTGGCCACTTCAGCTGGCGATAGAAGGAACAGTTGTGAAAAACCGCATTTTCCTGAAGGGCTCTGCGTTGATGAAATGTTGCTCTGGCAATAGAAGGGGTATCAAATGTACCCTGAACAGTGCAGAACCATAGGGGAAAGAACCCACACATGTATCTGTCTCCAGGGAGACACAGCTGCACATTGTTTCTAGGCACCCGAACGGTTAGGAAGCCGTCGTGATACTTCAGAGTTCTGCTGCCTATTCTTACCAATTTCTCTTGACTGCTTTATTTTTCTACACCGCCTCAACTAACTCTAAAAACAGGAGGACATCAAAATGTTCTTGTTTATACTCAAAATAGAAGAACACCAGATTTTTCAGAATCTTAAAATATTTAAGACAAAAATTTAAATGCACTTACTTCTAAACAAATTACTTAATCAAGAAATCTCTACTTCAAGTAAATAAAGTATCTTTTTTATTTGGCGTTCATATGCATGCATACATACATACATACTTCACAGATAACTGGCTTTCTGTAGTTACATAAACAGACATATACATAAATATATATGAGTATATATATATATACACACAGTGGTGTGTATGTGGTGTGTACGTATGCAGTGTGTGTGTGTGTGTGTGTGTGTGTGGTGTGTGTGTGCTGTCTGTGTCTGTGTGGTGGTGTATTTCTCTGTGTTTTGTGTGTGTGTGTGTTGTGTGTCTGTGGTGTGTTCATATGTGTGTATACATATATCACTCTCTCCATAATTCTATTTTGCCCACAAAGTTGTCAGAAGCTAATTTTACAACATAGTCTAGCTAGACCAACCACTCAGCGTGGCTGAGAGATAACATAAGAAATCATTAGAAGGTGGTGGTGGTGCACACCTTTGATCCCGGGTTTCAAAGAGGCAGAGGCAGGCAGATCTCTGTGAGTTCAAGGCCAGCCTGGTCTACAGAGAGAGTTCCAGGACAGCAGAGCTACACAGAGAAACCCTATCTCAAAAGAAAACAAGAAAAAGAGGAAAGTTATAATTAATATAAGCAATGATCAACACAATGATTTGGGGATCGTGTTTCCTCATTTGTGGTAAAAAGTTATTTAGTTGTCCAAAGTGTATCTTCTCAAATAAACACAGTGGTCTGTGTTGTTATTGGTGTGTCTGGGTATGTTCAAGAGACTTTTCTGGAAGCGGAATCTCTGACGGGTACACTGAGCCAATCACCCATCTGGTGCCTTCCCACCTTCCATTCACCCATTTGCCTACTGTGAGAAAATAGATCTGGGCCCCTCAAACAGTTTTTCTTTGCCAGATGGCAAGGAGTTTTTCAGTAAGCGGGCATGCTTTGTTCACAAAGTGTCCTGGAAGAGACTTGGGGAGAAAAGGGTTGTGCTTCCTGGTCCCACTGTTCAAGCAGCCCGTGTGGTTTTGCCAACACTAAGTTACTACACAACATGTCGTGGCCAGCAACGGCCAGCCGGCCACCCGGGGGCTCCTCTCAGCCAATTGTTTTAGCAAAGTCCCTGCAGTGAGTGAGACACTTTCCATGAACAGCTTTCCTCGGTTCCCATGAAATATTTCAAGGCAAGTTCCAGGGCAGTTGCTGGGCAAGCCCAAAGGGACTTTTTCCATTCGTTAAGTCACAGCCATGCCCACCAAACAAGATGTCAACTTAAGATGGTGAGGAAGGACTCTTTTTTTGTTTGTTTGTTTTTATGAGACAGGGTTTCTCTGTATTGTTTTGGAGGCTGTCGGTCCAGCCCGGCCTCGAACACACAGAGATCTGCCTGCCTCTGCCTCCCGAGTGCTGGGATTAAAGGCATGCGCCACCACCGCCCGGTGAGGAAGGACTCTTAACCCCAGTATTCTCTCTCTGCCATAAGCCACAAGGGGCTGCTCCTTTGAACTATCTGCATTCTTTCAGGGGTTCTTTCTCTCTTATTACTCTAATCTCTACTACAAATCATACTACTCACACAATTTTTTGTTAAGATTATGATTCCTAAATATACTAAAGCCAAGCACACTAATACCAAATTCATGCAAAATAAACTGACAATAACATATCACTTTTCACTCAACAGAAAGACAAAATGTGACAATACCAAATATTGGCAAAGAAAAAGAGAGAAAAACTCTCATGGGAATAATTCAGTAAGACTTTATAAAATAATTTGCCGTTATCTTGATAGTTGAAGATAGGCATACGGTAGCATTATGACTGCAGTGACTGCAGTGACATCACTGTGTTCACAATGAGTGTGCAGTGACCAGTGACATCACTGTGTCCACAATGAGTGTGCAGTGACATCGCTGTGCTCACAATGGGTGTACAGTGACATCCTTGTGCTCACAATGGGTGTGCAGTGACATCTCTGTGCTCACAATGGGTGTGCAGTGACATCGTTGTGCTCACAATGGGTGTGCAGTGACATCTCTGTGCTCACAATGGGTGTGCAGTGACTGGCCGTGCCACGCTCACACCCTCTCAGCCTCCTTACATTTCCAGATATCTGGGCTGATTTCTAAGGAAAGTATCTGCATCTTTGCTGAAGAACTCTTCTCTGGCAGCTAAAACTCATTTTGCTGCAAATGGTGAAACACGATTATGACTCTGTCCTCTCGCAGGAACAGCCTTTAGCCAACAAAGAGTCTAAACTAAGGAACACAAAGGCTTCCTGCCTCTCTGCGTTAACACCTAAGTGCGCCCGTCCCTAGCGCTTCCCTGTGGAACTGGACTCCAACAGTCCCTGGGGTAGCTGACTAGCAGCCTCTACTGACTGTCCTCTGTCCTCCCTCTCAGCCTCCGAACCTTCCCAAAGGCGCGTGTTACATGGGTTACACCAGCAGACAAGGCTGCACTCACTAATGCAGTAAGCTTTGCAATATCCATACTAGCACTTGAGAAATTTCGTCTAAAGGCAATTATAAAGACAGAGGCATTGGGCTTGGCAAGGCGGCTCAGTGGGTGAAGGCACCCGTGACTACGTCAGACAGCCTGAGTTTGATCCCTGGACCTACATGGGAGGAGAGAATCAACTTCAACAAGTTATCCTAGCTCACGCGCGCACACACATGTGCACACACACACGTGCACACACACACACACTAAACTTTTAAAGACAGTGGAGCTACTTTACTGCTGTAAAACACGCAGCGACGTGCTAAAGGAAAAGCCACACATTGATTCTGGTGCAGTGTGAACGCCAGAGACTTCTCTAACACTTAGAAAGTGAGTGGATGTCTGGTCATGACCACTCACGGGTTTTCTTCATAGCCCTCAAGTCTTAAGCTAAAAACAAAATTAAAAACAAACAAATTAAAAAAACAAACAAAACCAGTGGAAACCTGAGTGTTAAGAGGATTCTAATTACACGTACTTTAGGACCTGGATCCATCCATCCCCCACCCCCCTCTTTTTAACCTTCCAAGCCTGCAGCAATTGTATTCAAAATACAGGAGTTAAAAAAAAGGACTTCTGGCTTAAAGGAAGTGGCTGCTTGTCCTTTGGCCACAGCATACGAAACACCAGAACTGAATTCAATCAGTTTAATCAATTAGTGAAAGTTGGCTACAATAATCATGCTTCCAAAATCCAAGCAGCTCATGTACAGCGTGGAGAACCTAAGTTAAAAAGCCCTGAGCGCGGGGAATTAAGAAACAGCTTTCTACGTCACAAAGTCATCTAGAAAACATTTTAATTGACTCATTTTAAAGTCACTACCTCTTAAAGTCTGTAACATGCAGACTTGTAGTGCCTAGCAGAGTTTGTAGCTCTAAACATGAGTCCTGGAAAACTAAAAATAAGCATCTTAACTATAAGTCAAGGAACTGCAAGAACACATTCAAAAAGAATTGTAGGGATGGCCGGGTGGTGGTGGCGCACGCCTTTAGTCCCAGCACTCGGAGGCAGAGGCAGGCGGATCTCTGTGAGTTTGAGACCAGCCTGGTCTACAAGAGTGAGTTCCAGGGCAGCCTCCAAAGCCACAGAGAAACCCTGTCTCAAAAAACCAAAAGAAAAAAAAGAATCGTAGGGATGAAATGGTAAAAGAAAAACAGAAATTCTTAAACAGTAAAAGCACATCAAAAAGAAAAAAGTATACAAATAAGAAGTATTTTATATAGAATAACAGTTGCTAACTTCCTAACAAACTTGTCAAGAAATTAGTTTTCAAGAAGGAAAGGGGGGGACATTATTACTAACTCAATATAAAAACAGGATATTTAAAAATTCCTGTCAATTAGTTTGATGGTTTCATAAAACAGAAAAAAAGTCTTTAAAACTTAATTTGGCAAAACCAACAACAGATAAACAGAAAATCTAAAAAGTCCTGTATCTGCTAAAGAAGTTTGTAAGTCACAACAAGGCACGAAAAATTACCCGTGTGCACGGATGGCTTCATTGGTAAATGTTTCCATCACTTAAATGAGAAATAATAAAAAATGTTTGTTTCTTTCAAAGATTAGAGAAAAAGGGAATTCATGCCAACTTACTAATGTCAGGGTACTCAGCTCAAGACGACAAAACCTGAGGAGAATGTTCCAAGAAACAAACATTACAGACAGATAGCTCTCAAAAAAACAACAAAAAAAACCCT